TTTATTTAGCAGCTCCCATTCTGCCCCCATCGAAATGACCCTGGATTGTCCTTCTGATGTGCCCTTCTTGTCCTTTCCTGCCCTCTCCTGCCCCGTATCAACCATTTTTATTCCACCTTATTCCATGCGCCGCTTCTTTCTGTTCCTGCATTTCAATTGTCGACTTGGACTCTGCATCGTATGTATAGCCGCTGCACGCCATCCATCGTCTAGCTGGTAGCCCACTCTTCTAAAAACTCGATTCCCCCTTTCGCACTCTCCTGCTTTACGCAGTCAAGTACCCCAAGTCCCCGCCTCTCACGCACAGCCAAAGCTGAGTCGAGCTGATTGATCCGCCGCGTTGCGTTGCCTTGTCTTGCCTCACCTCGACACAAGGTCCAGCTTAGCCATTCCACCCACTCACAACTCTCAGACACTCGCCCGCCTCGCTGGACACGACATAACGCAACCTCATCAGTCAGCCCCGGGCTTAGCACAACTCAGGACGACACAATTGAGCGCAGCACAGCGCAGCACAACCCAAACTTGGCTCCTCAATTTTCGCAACGAGTCGGATTCCATCTCAATCATCCCCCAAACGCCTCTCATCATCCCAGCTGCTGAGTTCCTCAACCTGAGCTGTCTTGACTTGGTTGGCTTGTTGTCTCCAAGGTACATTGGCTCACCTTTTTTCATCCGTCCACCACCTGCTATCCCAGCCCTTCTTGTTTGCTTACCAACGTCACATGGGCCGTTAGGCACGTCGACCTCATATGGCCGATCTAAGGCTAGAGCCCTCGGAAGAGGGTTCTGAGGCTCATACCGTGCCATTTTCACAGTCTGAGATTGATGCTCGCTTCAAGGGCATCCGCGTCGAGGAGCCCGTTCCTCCGGCCGACCCCGAAGCGGTCCCCCTCGACATCCTCCATGTCGAGGATCACCACCACAAGCAGGGCATCCGCATCCTCGTTCGCCCTTTGACTAGATTTCCCAATTCGCGGTCCGTCAGTCCTGGCAGTGACAGTTGCCAGTGGCTGGCTCTCCGCGCAGAGGTTGCCTCGACGGAATCGCCAGAGCACAAGGTCCTTGCCGTGACTCAGACTTCCAAGGATATCAAATTTTCCGTCCGCATTCCCGGCGAGACTCAGGACGACGCCCCGCGACCTCCTCTTTGGTGCGAGCTGTATTACGATCCTGCCAGTGACAAGGTGATATTTCTAAACAAGTCGGACGTACCAATCTCCCTCTCGGGCGTCTCCCAAACCCCGCTGTCGAGCCCTCCGCTCAGTGCTGCCCACATCATCAATCCAGGACTGGCCAAGGCGCTGAAGCCAGGAACATGGCGCATTACCGTCCGAGACATTGCCGTTCTCGACTTTAGGATCCTGGAGAAGCGCCCAGTAGTGTTGTACGAGTCTCGCCCGCCTGCCCTGGTGGAGACAACGTCGTCTTCGAGTGGTTCCTCCATCAATGTGAGTGGCAAACGAGCCTTGACTCCAGAGTTGGATGAGAAACGAGTTAAGCGCCGTGTCTCGGACCCGGATGCACCTGGCGATGACGGCGTTATTATGTTTCTGAGGCCTGACGCCGACCCCCTCGTCTTTCCCCTTCCCAATGGCCGCGAGAGCAAGGAGCTCTCCGCCATCGATGCGCATCCATTGCTCGACGCTCAAACGGGTCAAACAATCGCGGTGCCAGGAGGAGTATGTGAGCTTGATCAGTATCAGCTGACCAAGCGGGATCCAATTGCGTCGACGTCTCTGTCAGCTGTCTACACCGCCGAGCATTCGCAGGTCTCTGACCTTGTTACCGTCAAGGTGCTGAAGACCCGCGTCGCGAACCCCAATGACAAGCCATATGTGCACGAACGGAACGTCATCCGCCAAGCCGACATGTGGCTACGCGAGTGTAAGAGTCAGGAAGACCTACAACACGAATCCATCGTCCGATACTATGGTGGCGATGCACGTTTCCTGTCCCTGTACATGGAGCATGTAGACGCGAAGGACCTCACAGCGGCTCCCCGGTGGAGAAGCAAGGCAAATGACGAGTTCCAAGGCGATCGGAACGATGCACGGCGAATCTTGACAGACATTGCCAGCGCGCTGAGCTACATCCATGGGCGCACGCTGGTTCACAACGATATCAAGCCCGCCAATATCCTGTACTCTCCGGAGCGCGGTGCCGTTCTTTGCGACTTTGGACTCTCGACATTGGCTAGCAACTCGCCGAACAGCGGCGGAACGCCGTACTACGTCCCTCCTGAGTTCATCGGACGTAAGCTCCGCGGCCCTGCGTCGGACGTTTGGGCCTTGGGTATCACCATGCTCTACGTCTTACGCAAGATCCCATTTCCGGACTGCCGCGCTCGGCGCCACCATCCTCGACCACTGTACTGGCAAATCGCCGGTGTTAATAACCCGACAATTGCGCACAAGCAGTTTGGCAATGGGCAGCCGGCAGTCAGCCAGATGCGCGACTGGTTAACGGAGATATATGAGACTCGCGAGAAGCTCAACACCAAGGATCTACTCGAGCGACTCGTCATGGAGATGCTCACCCCGAATCCCCAGCAGCGCATTACCATGGCAAGGGTATTGAAGGAGCTGGTTACGGATAAAACCCCTGCTGCGGGTTGATGATGACTGATACTGCCCGAGGCTAGATTGATGATTTAACATGAGGAATCTACCATAACATTGGCCGTTGCAAACCACACACCCCTCTGTTTTTTTGGAGTTGAGATGGGCGCCATGTAACTTTTATTCGTGGGAACTAGCCATGAGCTAACTTGACAAGATGACTGGGTGAGTGAAGATGGGGGACGAAGGCAAGGAGTGCTTTCGCTGACAGTGCCCAGATTGAACATACGACATAGACGACTACACAACGAAGTCGAACTAGGCCATCTTGGAGCATAATTGCACGGCGGAGCAGGCATGGAGTTGTCAAACGTTGTTTATTTTATAGAGCGCGGAACGTTTTCGTCGTTCTTTCATCAGCTCGTGGGCTTCATTTACATCCATTATATACCAATACATTATGTCTTTGTCCGTTTTCCATCCGACGTCAGACTCACAATCCAAAGCCCATGGCAAATAGAGCAGCAAGTCCCGCAACAGAGGTCAAGGCCACCTTGTTGACGTTCAAAACACCCGCAGCGCTGTCGTCATCGCCGCTCGAGCTAGAGTTGGAGTTACTGCTGCTGTTGCTCTCCGCATCAAAAGTAGATTGGTCCTTGACCTCAATGTACTTGACCTCGGAAGTGCAGTTGCTAGGTCCCTTGGCGCCCTTCTTGAAACGAATATCGGCGCAGTTGTATAGGGCGGTGCCGCTGTCGCCGCCAGTGACGACTTGAATGCTGGCGAGATCGCCGTCTTGGACCTCGACGCCGTCGGGGAGAGCGAGCTTCTCGACGCAGAGTTCGCCAGGGGTAGTAACGTTCCAGAAGTCGGGGGTCAGGGAGACATTGAAGTTGGACGAGTTCTTGCCCAGGCCGAGGTTGATGAAGACGTAGGTGTAGTCGTGGTGGAGCTCGAGCTTGATGGCACCACCTTCGAGGGGCCAGTCGGTCACATTGCCTTCACCGTAATCGGCGCCGGCGCCTGGAGGGTTTTGTTAGCAAGGAAATGGGGCAATGAGGGGACCAGATTCTGGGGGTAACGCACAAGGGAAAACGTATTGGCTGTAGGGCGAGTCTTCCTCCTCGGAGAGAGTGTCAGCTCGCCACTCGGGGAATCCGAGGCCGAAGTGAGCAGTCGCAAGCTTGGCCGCAGCCAGGGCGATGAGGGTCTTGGTAGCGATCATCTTAACCGGGAGATGCTGGATTTCAGGTTTGGGGGAAGAAGGCAAGGATTCAGTAGCTGATTGGAAGGGGAAATGGAGAGGAGTGGACAGCACCGAGAGGGAGAAAGTGTTCGGGCTGGCTTTATACCTTTGCGCAATAGGGAAGACGGCTCACAAGCAACTGGCACGGCTGCAGCTATGCTTGACCAGCTAAGCTTAAGTTAGCTCCTGCTGGAGAGCTACTAGCGTGAGTGATATTTGCTCGTGGTTCGCATCTTAGGGAGCATTCAGTGACAGGGCGACATGCCAACTCCGGAGAGGCTGCTCGGAGAGTCGGGACCAGGTGTCAATATTGCGTGGGTGGGTGGCCGGACATGTCGATGCCGTCATGTCGGGGTGAGCCGTGACACCAGGCACAGAGCCGTGAGAGTCTTTGAAGCACAGATATGACAAGCACGTCACCTTGATATACGAAAAAATGTCACAATGCTCTCTTTCCCGCAATTATTTATCATCCGAGGGAGCTGCCCGACTCCTCCTGTGCCTCCGAATCCCATCTTGAGATCCACACCCGCTCTCTGCGGGCGGCGCACGCCAAGCCCAACTTGGTCGGAAGCTGAGATGGGATAAACTTGCTCAAATGGCCGCAACGATCCCTGTTATTGGGTACTTGGCCTGATGTTTCCCTGGGAGACAAATAAGCGATCCCTTTTGAGGATTAAATTGCTTTGTGGCTGTTGATTGCGATAGTCGACGAGGAATTGGCGAGTTCCATTGGTGCACATAGTGCTGCGGGATGAGCATCGGATTTGGTACAGGGTAAACTGCTGTGCAAGACTCGACTGCCACCGCGAGGTAGAGGAGATCGATTGTAACTCTGGTGATGGATAGTCTCTGGGATCTGATGAAGCAAACACTGTGTTGTTGGGCGTCATCGCTGATGATAGCATTCGTTTGATTTAATCTGAGCCGCCCCATGAATTAGTTGTTAATCTCTAGTGTGCCATATTATGATAATTGCGACATATCCTACAATTTTAGACACAGATGAAAGAAATCCCTGTATATTTATTTAATTCATCTATTATATATTTCTTTATATATTTGATTTCTTATTCTTATTTTCGTCTGTTATGAATAGACATGACGCTTTTGCTTGTGTTGCGGAATTCGCTGCAGGCGCCAGGATCCTTGGGTGACTACCCGTCGCATTCCTTCATCAATTCAATTGGACGGCTTCCGTAGCTCAGTTGGTTAGAGCTTCGTACTAATACTTGCGTTCTCGTACTGTACTAGTAATGCGAAGGTCACAGGTTCAAGCCCTGTCGGGAGCATTTCCCACGGCCTCCGATTATCTTTTTATACTATGTCACAACTCCTGCTGTTTTTTTTGAGCTGGCTGTCGTCGAGAATGGCGAGAATGACACGGAGGGCGTCGTTGTTCGTGGATCGAGTTGCTTCATTGGGTGGGGCCGTCGCACGAACCTCCTCGGGTACGTACCTTATCAGATTCATAGCACCTCCCCACACGACAAACGAAGCAATCCCTTTTTCCATAGCAATATTCGAATTGAAAGCTCATTGAGATGCAAGTCTGCTCGAGTATGCAACCCTTTTTATTCTCTACCTGTCATTTACCTTGTGGATGCCGATCAACAAGGTGGCCATGATCGCCTATCACGTGATGTGTCATGGAGATCCCCACAACCGTTTCTGGGTTTCCACTTTTTAGAGCTGCTGCCTTTCGCATCGCAACGACGTTGAGTAAACATTTACCCATCGACCTCGACCAACCATGGATCCTGCACGTCGGACTATGATCGCCGGACGTAGGTCTCCCACCAGACGAGATGTAACTTCCCCAAGGCACGATCCCAACAACCGAATCACCAAGTCCTCTCGACCTCCCGCCCCGAGGAATGCCGCGAAGTACTTGACCCAAGACGAGCAATCGCGGCAGTTCGTCGCCGATGAAGACAAATTCGTTCTGAAGCAGTCAAAGAAGAAAGCCGACATTCGTATCCGAGAGGGTCGAGCAAAACCCATCGACTACCTGGCCTTTAACCTGAGATACATCGATTCTGACCGAGACGTGTTTGATGACCATGAAGCAGACCTGGACATCGACATCCCTGTCCCGGGGGACCTCATGGCATCGTTGGATGCCGCCCAGATAGCGGAGCTCGACACCGAAATAGAATCCTATCATACCCTTGAAACGAACTCAAGGAACAAAGAATACTGGAGGGCTCTCAGGACAATCTGTGGCGACAGGAAATCGAAGCTGAGCCCTCGAGGGCGGGATGAGCGTGTGGTTAGTAGCGTCTCAACCGACATTGATAAAATTCTTGCCCCGAAGACGCACGAGCAGCTCGAAGCGCTGGAGAAACAAATCAAGGCAAAACTCCGTTCTGACGAGGATATCGACACCGATTATTGGGAGCAACTACTACGTAGCCTACGTGTATGGAAAGCTCGAGCTAAGTTGAACCTGGTATACGAAGAAATCAAGTCGAACAGGATCAACGCATTGAAGAGCAAGGACCCGGCAAAAGCGAAAGCATTGGAAGAAGGTTTCCCTGTATCATCCACCTCTCAGGCGCTTGCATCTTCACCAGCATCAAAGGGCGAGACATCGAGACAAGGTGTCGTTGCTTCATCCAGCCGTAATGCGAACACGACGGCCCCCAGTACTCGATTCTCAGAAGCGGACAACATCGATTTCTCACAAGCCACCAAGGCGTTGTACGATCGCGAAGTCGCTCGAGGTGTCGACGAAAACGAGGAAATCTTTACGAGCGAGGAAGCCGTCGTCGGTGCTTCCAACCCGCAATGGTCGGATAAATATAAACCTCGAAAGCCTCGTTACTTCAACCGTGTGCAGATGGGATACGACTGGAACAAGTACAATCAGACCCACTACGACCACGACAACCCACCACCAAAGGTCGTTCAAGGGTACAAGTTCAACATCTTTTACCCGGAGCTCATTGACAAGACGAAGGCGCCAACGTTCAAGATTATTAGGGAGCATGGACGAAGGCGAGGAGAGTCGTTTGCAGCGGCGGGAGAGGAGGACACGTGCCTCATACGCTTCATTGCAGGCGCTCCTTACGAGGATATTGCGTTTCGAATCGTCGACCGAGAGTGGGACTATAGCGGAAAGAGGGATAGAGGATTCAAGAGTTCATTTGACAAGGTAAGTTTACAATGCTATTCTTGCCCGTCGTTTGACATGCAAACGGGCACACTCGGAGGTCGCGTTTGTCACAGCGATGTGGAATACACCCAACTCAAGCCAGCCAGCCACAACGATGCGAAAGGCCCAATCCAGTTGTCTCCAGCAGTCTTTGTGCATTGCATGCTCGTTGAACCTCACAGGCTAACCTCCCACACCTTATAGGGCATCCTGCAGCTGCACTTTCAGTTCAAGAAGGTATGTACCCTGTCTTTCCGTTTGTCTCCAAAAGAAAAAAAAGGGACGCCGTTTGTTGCTCGATGGAACTGACCTGTCATGTGTAGATCTTTTACAGAAAATAAGCTCGTATCGAGCCTTATCTGCTCACCGCCTCGAAACAAGGCGTATTGTGTCGTTGCTGCTTGCATGCAACTACCTGCATGGCCTTCAAACAAACACGGCTACCTTGTCGCGCAGACTTAGCGAAAGAGAAGATTGGTTTACAGGAATAGGTTATGTGATGGTTTTGAGCAGCAGTGTGACTTACCGGCTGCAGAGCGATCTTGGTTCATAGATCTTTCTACACAGCCCAACAGCTAATCATACCGGCGGATCGGCCGTTTGTGTCACCCTCCCAGAGTTCTTTGCCTCCATCGCCTGTCCCAATACACGTTTTCTGACATGTTCACTCCAAGACCTTGTTTACCCCTGCGGCTAGCAGGCACACCAACAAGGCACGTCGAGGTCCCATGCCTATCTGTCAGCAGTCAAACCTCGCAGCCGGAATGAAGCACAGATGCAGGAGTCATTTCTGGCCCGACTTCCTCTTGCGTGCGAATTCAGACGGGTTCTATGTGGGCTCGGCACGACCCCCCTTCACATCCTTGCGGCGTTTGATTGCTGGAGGGTTGAATCTTCGCGACAGACAGCAAGCAGAATGGAGGGTTGACGCATTCGGCCTCGCCTGTCATTTGTTGTCATCGTCGTGTCGCCGTGTCGTCGTCGTTGTTGAAAGAAGCACCAGGCCACTTTTTACACACGGCTAGCCGTCGGTGAAGAAGTTCGACGTGTGATTACATGACCGCCTTTCACCTTTCAGCATGGAGCTGCAGTGCAGTGCTGAATTGCTTGGGCGAGCTTCCGCTCCTCCATGCAAGTGCTTCCACGGCTTCCATGTGGGTTCAGGGCGACAAGACAGCAAAACAGGGCTCCAAACAACGGTCGGGTCGGGCGGACGGCGTTGATTGGTGCGCCGAGCGGTATCGCCTTCTGATGCAAGCTGCCGTTTTCCTGAGGTGACTCCGTCCTGGAACACAAACGGCCGGACTGCCTCCAGTGATTGTGCGGCCGATTGGCGAAATGTACAAGGCCCCGATGCGACACTGCCTTCGCCCCAGGATGCCAGATGCTCTTGATGGGGCCGAGATGAGCTGTGGCAGCGGGGGAGAGGGGTAGAGACCAAACGCTGAGGGGACTTGGGGGTGGTCAATGGGCATAGACGCCACCACTGCGGCCACTCTCTGCTCAAACCGCAATGTTGCACACGCTGGGGCATAGTCGTCCCTGGACCCATGCAGAAGCAGGCCAGCTACGGAGGACTCCACAAGGACGCCGGGGTGTGTGTGTGTGCCGGTACATACATGTTGGTGTGCGAGGTACTTGACAAGCTTGGTCCAGTACGTAGACTATTATGTGCGTGCAACGGCCTGTAAGCCACATCCACACAAGCCTGGACTGATGTCGTTTTGCACGCCTATCCATCAGAGAATGTATCTGCGAACACAGGCGCGCACACAGGGCACTCACAAGGCAAGCCATGATGCTTGCAGGCCATGGCCACCAACCTCCGAGGGGGTGTCCCCCGGGCAGTACCGTCCCGTTGATGTTGAGATGCCGTTGTATGGGCTCTGTCTTGGCCCACCCCCCTTCTCAAGCCCTCAGTCTAATATCAGCGTTCGTTTGATCTTGGGTCCAATCCAGACCTGCAACCAGACTATTGGGATATGTTGGGTGAGCCCGTTGCAGGCATCCCAGGTGTTTATCACCGGAAGAGCCCTACGCAGCTTCTTCTCAAACGGGACGGGCCTGTTTCTACCTACTGCCTAAAGGAGCGAGCTGGTCCCGCAAGTCAAATATCGCCTTCTCTCCTTTCTACTCGCCTCGCCTCGTCTTATTGTTGCGATTGTGACGCCCTGCCATCTCCCGTCACTCCTCATTCCTTCCCTTCCATCTCATACTTCTTGCATCCTACCTCGCCTCTCATACCCGAGTCAACGTACTGCCCTATTCCCCGAGAAAGAAGTCAAACTGCCACGAGACCAGTCTGTGCTGCCGTCCCAAGCGGCCTCTTTGACTTTGCTTCCGGCCATGGATCCACCATTCTCTGAAGGCGAGCAGTCTTCCAGCTACACGAACCAACAGATGGTAGCAGGAGCCGGTCAACAATCAAGTTGCATGCCGGAGCTTTCCAGCATGGACTCATACTACACTCCCTGTCCGGTTGCTCAAGAGCTGTCACCTCATCCCTCAGAAACCGGCTCGCTTCCTCCAGCCTCAACCTTGTATCAACACCAGCAACTCCCACGATCGACCCAGAGCCCTGGCGCACTTGCTTCCATGACATCAAACCCGCAAAATGTCCCGAGGAGCCATCATATCTGGCCATCTCCTCCCCCCGGACCCGACGAGCTCGATAACTGTTCGTATGACAGCTCTCCGACCTGTGTCAGCAGCCAGCCTGGATACAACCCTTCTCCCGTCTCGCCAAAGATATGGTCGTCCCCGCACCATCCTTATCAACACACTTCAGATCCGTTCTTGCAACACCATCAACAGGAATCTCTCAAGGGACTTCAGTTGGGCACTCCGACGTCAACAAGCAGTCTCCCTGTCCGCGGTTCCCAGACTTTGACTCCTCACGCCAGCAGCGCGGGTCGACCCACGGACGGGATGCCCCGAGATAACTCTCTCGTCTCTCTCTCCGATCTGACGACCAAGGGCTTTTCAGGAACATCTTCGCCTGTGGATCTGGACTTGAGCCCACGGGCCTACATGCCCGTCACCAACAAGAGCGAAGCGCCACCAACAAACAGACCGTCTAGCTTGACGAGTTCAGCGTCGAGGGAGCTCAACGACCACGGACCAACCAACAAGGGA